AGCAAAGCCATGCACTTTCTGTTCACTATCAGCTCACATTATAATAATAAAGGTAAAGGTGGGGCCGGCCTGGTGGCATCGTGGTTAAGTTTGCATGCTCCCTTTCAGCGGCCCAGGGTTCACAGGTTCGGATGCCGGGTGCGGACCTAGCACTGCTTGTCAAGCTACTCTGTGGCAACATCCCACATAAAACAGAGGAATATTGGCACAGATATTAGCTCAGTGGCAATCTTCCTCACAATAATAATAATAATGATAATAAAGGTAAAGGTGTGAAAGATCAAAATGAACTGTGATTAAGAATTACCCAGCTAGGGGAAGTCGCAAATGTCCCAGTTCTCCTCCCCAATGTACAAATGTCAAGGGCCTTCCCCTACGCCTACTAGGGACCCAGAGACTGTAGGCTTTTGTTATCCTTGCAGATGTTCTGGGGCTTTGCAGGGAAGGTTTTGCCTAGGGCCATCAGGTGGAGACCTGGCAAAATCTGTAGGCTCAGGCATCTGTCCTACTAAATAGATCGCCAGTGGCTGAGGTGCCAAATGCTGACAAACTGAGGGTCCCCATCAGAAGTATGGTGGGTGAAAATTAAGGATGGACATGGTTATGCCAGGCAATTAGAAATCCAAGAGAAAGGGCAAAAAAAAAAAAAAAAAAAAAAGACAAAGAGAGAGGAGCTGAATGATAGAATTAATAAGCACAAACTGGTAAATAGAAAACTGACCCTCAACAAATAGAGAATACACATTATTTTTAAGCACTCAAAGAATAGTCCCAAAAAGTAACCATGTACAACTTCACAAAGAAAGCCAAAAAAGACTTTAAGGAGTCAACATCCTACAGACTATGTCCTTAGATTATCATAAAATTAAAAATAGATTTTTTTAAAGGATAGCTTAAAAACCTAATATGCTGAGAAACCAAAATCATACTACTAAATAATCCTTTCATCCTTGGATTAAAGAGGAAATTTAAAAAATTGTGAGAAATTCCTAATACTACTTAGCACTAGATGATTTGTGACATGTAGCTAACACAGAACTTTGTGAGAAGTTTACTGCTTTCAATACATTTATTAGAAATCAGAAAGATATTGAGGGCAAATAAGCTATGTGTTCAACTCAACAAGCTGGAAGAAAGAGCAACAGAGTAAATGCAAAAGAAACCAGGAGCGAGGAAATAGACATAAAGACAGAAATGAATGAAGAAATATCAACCAAAATATAAAAAATAATTACAAAATCAAGAAATGATTACTTAAAAAGATTAATAAGATAAACCACAAGCAAGGCATCAAGAAATAAAAAGCTAAGGCTCAAACAAAATCTGAAGAAGAAAGGGAGAATATAGCAATTTAGAAAGTAATGAAATCGTATTATGAATAAGTACATGCCAATAAACCAAGCCTAAGAAGAAATTATCATATTGCTGGGGTAAACAGTATAAATGGCAAAATTTTGCAGAAGAAACCTGAAAAGGCCAATTGTTTGAGAAACTCTTATTTGTTTTGTTCTATTTTTAACACATTTAGCCTTTCTCCACCATCTCACTCACTTCTCCCCAGGAATAGACAAGGAATAATTCGGTAAATTTTTAAGAAGCAGTAAGACATGCTTCACTCAGTCCTTTCTGATTCGTTCTCAGAATCAGCCTATGAGCTGAAAGGTGAATTCTGATCTGCCATGTGGAAAGGGGTCTGGTGATTTCAGGGATGAACTATTAGCAAGTCAACTTGGCTAGAGATCTAAAGTCACAATTTGCAGTCAGCTCTATCTGGATCTCTCTCTGACACATGTGTACCCAGCAATAGGTTCTAAACTCCAAAAGGGAAGAATGAGTATTATTAATTAGCTCCTCTCAAAAATTCAAATGCCCATGATGATTAAAGAAATAAGAACGGTACTCAGACTCCTCCGGTCCACCACTGCAGATTCAGGAACGTCTAGATCTAAATGGCTTTACAGGTAAATTTTACAAAATGTTCAAGGAATAGACAATTCTATCTCTCATACTAGTTGTGTTAGAAAATTGAAAGTGAGAGAAACCTTACCAACCCATTTTATAAGGCTAGTATAACACCTTGATTTCAAAACACAAATGAAAGATCATGAAATGAAATTTAAAGGGCTATCTCCCTTATAAACATAGATATAAAATTGTAAAAGAAGGTATATCATAATCGAGTAGGATTTGTCTTAGGAATGTAAGACTGATTTAAGATAGGAAAATATGTTTGTGTGATTCCCCACCTTAATAAAATAAGGAAAACATACCATTTAAATAATTATCTCAATAGGTACAGCAAAAGCATTTGATAAAGACACATATTTTAAAAAGCTCTTTTCAAAAACTAAGAACAGTAGGAGACTTCTTTAACATGATAAAGTCTCTGTAGCAAAAACAACAACAGAAAATCTCCTAATTACTGTAACATGTTAGGCACATGACTTTCCAGATAGATATAAATATCTGATTTGGCCTCTACATTCAACCTAGTACTAGAGGCCATGATCTATAAAATAATAGCCCCTAAAAATAAAAGGCATACGATACAGATATCAGCACATATCAGACGGTGCAGAAAAACTAATTAACTGTGTAGAGAATAACAAAATTGGATAAGCATCAAGGATTTATGTTTAACAAAGCATATCAAAGACAAAGTTCACTAAAAAAGAATTAGTATCCATAAAATACAAAGGAATGGTAGAATAATCATAAAGAACAGTAAATCGAATCTAATGAGAAACATTAATAACCAAAAACTCATTTAAATGGAACATCTGAATAGCTGCATCACTAGTAATCATAGAAGTGGAAGGAGATTGTGGGTTTTTTTACAATTTTAAATGCAATCACATTTTTAAAAGATTTAAAAGTTGGATAATACTAATTACACTAGTTATTTGTTATGTAAAAAAAATTACTTCAAAGCTTAGTGGCTCGAAATGACAAAATCTATTATTTCAGAGTTTCAATGGGTCAGGAATCTGGGTGCAGCTTAGTTGGTCCTCTGGCTGCCTTCCAAGGCTACGTCACCTCAAGTCTGAACTGGGAAGGATCCACTTCCCAGTTCACTCATGTGGTTGTTCCTCGCAGTTTGTTGCACTGAGAGCTCAGTTCCTCAGGAACTGTTCCTGGAGATGCTAGCCTGTTCATTGAGCATCTCCTGACCTGCTTTCATTAGAATGAGAAAACAAGAGTGCAAGAGAGGCTGTCAGCAAGAAAGAGTTTTAGCAAGAGGAAACTTTATGTTAATGACATCCCATTTCTTTTGTTGCATTCTATACATTGGAAGCAAGTCACTAGATACAGCCCACACTCAGGGGAGTGGATTACACAAGAGTGTGAACATCAGGAGGCTGGGATCGTTGGGAGCCATATCAGAAGTTGCCTTCCACAGAGTATTGGTGAGTGCATAGGAAAATATGTAATAATATAATTATAGTGGGAAGCTAGACTGGTATAGTCATTTTGGAGAGAAATCTGGCAATATTTAGCAAAATTATCACTTATAGACTGCATGTTTATGTCCCTCCAAAATTCATATGTTGAAACATCTCCAATGTGATGGGGCTTTTGGGAGGTAATTAGGGTTAGATTAGGTCATGAGGATTGGGCCTTATAATGGGATCAATGCCCTTATGAAAAGAAGAAGAGACAGGAGATAGCTCACTCTCTCTCTGTGTACCCACCAAAGAAGGCCAGGTGAGGACATAAGCAGGAAGAGGGTCCTTATCAAGAACCCGACCATGCTGACATCCTAATCTTGGAGTTCTAGCATCCAGAACTGTGAGAAATAAATATTTGTGTTTATGCCACCTGGTCTATGTTAGTGTCTTATAGCAGCACAACACACTAAAAATTATGTATATCTATGACCTAGAAATTCTGTTCCTGAGTTCATATACCAGAGAAATGAATGGAGAAGTTCATAAGGGGACATGAATGAGGATGCTTATCAGTGTTGTTTGTGGCAGTGAAGTGGAGAGCCAACATAGCTGTCCCTCAAAAGTAGAAGGAATGGACAAGCAAAGCTTAGTGCATGAATTCTAAAGAATATGACACAGCATTAGAAGCAATGAACTAGAGATACATATAGCTGCATAATTTGAACTTCAAAGCACAGTGTTGAGTGCATATGGTAAGAAACAGAACAAGATCTACAGCACAATGCTGCACATTCAATCACATATTTAACAAGGCTATGGATTTCACAAGAGGGCAAACATATACCAAGACATAGTTCAAACACGTCATTCAAACCTAATGGTGGGAAGGAAATAAGTGTTCGACTCTAGGAAGAATGAAACAAAAATAGAATAAAATATAAAAGAAGGAACCTTGCAAAACTCAATGATGATAACATGGCCAGAGTCCAAGAAAAAAATAAAAGTAAAGATAAAAGTAAACTTTATGCCTGGGCAGTTAATTCTAATCCCTGCCTGTAAGTAGCAGAGCTGGCAGAAAATAATTTAATCAAAATCAGCAGCCTTTAATGCCAGATGCTATAGGTAGGGAGATGTATAGTCATGGGAGCTGTCTTTTCGTTAGTTTTTAAGATGATTCATATCTCCAATGATATTTAAATTCATTGCATTTGGAGTGATTTTAGGTAAGATACCCAAAACACTAATTAGTAACTAAGGGTGGGAGATAGTAGAATAAACCATTGAGTAGGGGTGGTCTTGGAGAATAGCTTGGAGGAAAGGTTCTTTCTCTACCAAGTACACCTCAATTGAACATGCGGATATGAGGAGGGGTGGCAGTTCAGCTCGGGGAGTCTCCTTTGGGGGTGTTAGAGAAAAGACTCCTTTCTCTAATCAAACCATCTTTGCTACTCATCATCCCTGCCCCTCCACAGAGGTGTCAGTAATGGCACTTAGACATTTCAAAGCCACATCTTGGCCTCCCCAGCAACCTCTCCCCGAAGCAGAGCCGTCATAGTGGTACTTTGTGATGTCCAAACCCCCATTAGCCACCATTGGCTGGGGGAGAGCCTTGCTGACCAATCAAAGCTGAAGGGTGTAGCCCCTGATTGTCCTGGAAGGGTATATGTAGGATGGTCAGGAGGCCTGAGGTAGACCACTGGGAGGCTTCAATATGGCGAAAATAACCAGGAAACCACAGGAGCCTAATAGAGATGTAGACCAACCAACCTCAAGCTCCAAAGGGAAGCAGAAGATGAAGAGTCCCCATCAACCTGGGTCCAGAGGTGGTGGAAAAGTAAGAGGACCCTACTCAAGCTATTCTTTTCGTCATTGATTCCCCCTCCCCCAAGAATCTTACCCTTTCCTTGCCTTGCACAAACCCCTCCTCAGCCCTGACCACTTCTCCTGAAGCCCCCCTTCCCATCAATATCCCATCTTCTACCCCTAAGCCAATGCCCTTTTGGCCTCACTGTGTTGTCCTTCCAGGTACTGAAGACAACCATGAAGATAAAAAGACCCCTTCAAAGAAGTTCGAGTAAGAAAGTCTCTGAAAAAACCACCAAATTCATAAGAAAGCCTAAGAAAGCTAAAGGAACAATGCTATTTGGTCACTACCACAGGCTGAATAAAAAGATGAATCAAAATGAGCCAGAGCAGGACCCAGAAAGCCTGGAAAAGTCCACCACATCAAGTGATGACCTGGGCAGCCAGTAACTTCAGAGCGAGCTATCTGAGAAGCCTCTGAGGTCTGGCCCCTGAGAAATGGCCAATGGTGTAGATGTCATTTTACAGCAACAGGGTGCCCTGATGGTGATTTAAATAAAACGGAGCTGTTTTGAAAATGTGTGTATTTCTATGAGTTCTCTCATGGTGGGAGGGGGAAGGAAGGGAAGAGACAGATGTGTGAGTAGGGATGGACATGTGGTCCTGCAGGGTTGGGGGCCAGACTAGCAGAATCACAGTTAACCAAACAGTAGGAATAAGGACTCGGTCAGGACTGAGCGCTGAAGACAAATTTCCTTCTTGACACTTGAGCCCATGGACATAACGGAAAAAGGTGTGGCATTTCTTCCTGGGGCTGGATGGGGGTGGGCAGGGAGATTGTCAGTGTTTCAGAGTGTCAAGTGCCAGATCCTATATGGGGTGAGGTATCCCCCCAAATCTCCCAAAATAGACAAATCACTTCCAGGCCATCTACCTCATAGTGGTGTTTGTTTCACCCCACTTTATAATGTCAGCAACTAACTGTCCTCAGAAGGGCCAAAAATCTCACCCTACTAAAAGTTACTGAGAGTACCCTAAGGACTAAACTAATGGAGATTAGAAGCCACATAGCCAACACTAATTAGCCCACTGTCTTAAGAAACATGGTGGAGCAGTGGCCTCCCAAGGGCAGGGCAGTGGGAGCAGTCTGCTTTCTGTGCAGGCGATAAAGGGGAGCATTGTCTACAGAGAATTCTAAAACAATGTAGTCTCCGCTCCACATGTCTTCTTTATTCTTTCCAAAGTTTTTTTTTCTTGAAGAGGATATTATTTTAAATGGTTTGATTAAAGTGCAATTGACATATAATAAATTACACATGCTTTAAGTGACAGTTTGATGAGTTTGGTCATGTGTATACACTTGTGAAACCAATACCACAATTATAAGAGTGAACATACCCATCACTGCCTGATGTTTCCTCTTGCCCCTTGACAATTGCTCCTTCTTGCCCCTCTCTGCATGCCCATCCTCAGATAATCAGTGATTTGCTTGCTGTCTCTATAGATTAGTTTACCTTTTCCAGCATTTTATATAAATGGAATCAGTATATATTCATTTTCATCCAGCTTCATTCACTCAGCATAATTATTTTGAGTCAATGTTCTTGTGTACATCAATATTATATTTCCTTTTTGTTATGATTATTTTGTTGAGAGTTTAGTAACATTTAAATGATACCCCAAAGTTTACAATTTTGAGATCATTGCAAATTCACATGCAGTTATAAGAAATAGCAAAAGACCTTATACCCTTAACCTAGTTTCTCCCAATGGCAACATCTTGCATATCAGCAGTACAATGTCACAGTCAGAAAAATGAAACTGATAGTATCCCTTTACTTTATTCAGATTTCACCAGTTTTACACACAAATTTGGGTATGTGCATGTGTTTAGTTCTATGCAATTTTATCATCTGTGCAGTTTCCTGTGATTACCACTACAGTCGAGATACAGAAAAGTTCCATCACAAGGATCCCTCATGCTACTCATTTATCACCACAGCCACCTCCCTGACTCCTGGAATCCAGTAATTTGTTCTTCATCTCTATAATTTTCTTACAAGAATGTTACGTAAATGGAATCATTCAGCATACAACCTTTTGCAATTGGCTTTTTAAACTCAGCATAAATCCCTTCACATCCATTCAACTTATTGTGTGTATCAATAGTTTTTTTTCTTTAAGCTGAGAAGTATTCCATCGATGTACTACAGTTTGTCTAACCATTCAGTTATTGAAGGGCATTTTGGTTGTTTTGATTTTAGACTGTTATATTACTATTCATTAATTTCAATGACATCCAGTTTATCAATTTTTCCTTTTATGGATCATGCTTTTGGTGTTAGGTTTAAGAACTCTTCACCTGGCCTTAAGTACTGAACATCTTCTCTAAAATTTCATAATTTTACATTTCAATCTATGATCTATTTTAAGTTAGATTTTGTACAAGGTATTAGATTTAGGCCAAGGTTCACTTTTTCTTTTTACTATAGCGTCCAATTGCTCTAGGACCATTTTTTTGATCTGTTTATAATCATGTAATGTCCCTTTGACCTTAGTAATTTTCTTTGCTATGATGTCTACTTAATCTGATATTAATATAGTCATTCCTGCTTTTATTTTTAATTATGGTAAGATACATTTAACATAAAATTTCCTACCTTAACCATTTGAGTGTACAGTTTAGGAATATTAAGTACTTTTATGCAAGCAATCTCAAAACTCTTTTCACCTTGCAAAACTGAAACTCTGTATCCATTAAACAACTCCTCAATGCCCCTCTTCTAGTCCCTGATAACCATTCTTCTCTGTCCCTATAAATTTAACTCTAGATACATCATATAAATGGAATCATATGGTATTTGTCTTCTTGTGATTGGCTTATTTCACTGAGCATAATGTCCTCAAGGTTCATCCATACTGTAGAATGTGTCACAATTCCCTACCTTTTTTAAGGCTGAGTAATATCTCATTGTACGTATATGCCACATTTTGTTTATCTATTCATCCATCACTGGACACTTGGGTTGCTTCTACCTTTTGCCTATTTTGTGAATACTACTGCTATGAGCATGGATGCACAAATACATCTTCAAGACCCTGCTTATAATTCTTCCTTTATATAACCAAAAGTAGAATTGCTGATCATATAGTAATTCCGTTTTTATTTTTTTGAGGAACCTCTGTACTGCTTTTCATAGTAGTTGCACAAATTTGCATTTCCACCAACAGTGCACAAGGGTTCTTTTTTCTCCACATTACCTTGTGCTGAGATTGAGTGCTTGGGGTTGCTCAAGAGTTTTTCCTCAATGTTTGTGCTCTGTCCTTAGCTTTTGGTTGCCCCTATATGTCTGCTCCATACAGGGAGTCTCTCTCCATGATTTTGCCAGTCACCTAGTTGGGAATGATGTTGCTTGGTATTCATTGATAGGATAGCAGTGTGGAAAGAGAGTTCTCTATTCTCCTAGCCCAGCCTCAGTCTTCAATAGGCCCTGTGAGCCTGGTCTTCAAGGGTGGGTTCTTCAGTGTTCCTAGCCCTATTCCCCATGATAGCTAAACTCTCTCTTGATAAGGGTCTTGTGTGGGAGATCCATCTCCCAGCAGTAGGAGGTCTCTAATGAGGCTGGTATATAATCCTGTGCCCTAGACTGTTCCCTGCTCTCCCCTAGGTTTTTTCCTCTATCCTCTCTTTAGTAACAATGAGTCTTTGCCTCTTCCCTGGTGACCTGGTGGGGGTGACAGGATTTGCTGACCCTTCACCAGAAGCCTAAGGCTTTTTAGAGAAGGGTCCAAGCAATGAGGCAGGGCTTCATATCTTGCTGAAGTGAGACTTGACGCCTTGCCACATGCCTTCACCACCAAGGGAGCCTCTCTCTCTGGTCTCCTGCCCTGCCTCCAGTCTTTCCCTTGAGCACCCACTGGAGGTCCATAGAAAATAGCCTGCAAGCTGATGCTAACACACCTCATGTCTGTTCCTCCCAGGGCTTTGTTACTGTTACACTAACCCACACAAAAGCTGTTAGCTTTTATTGAAAATTTCACTGACTTCTTCCCAACCACTTGCAAGGCAGCCTCACATTTTTCCGGCGCTGTCTTGAGTGAGACAGCCTGTGTGTCCCATCTCTCCTTGGGGTTGGAGGGATGTCCCTCCTTGAATTTCAAGCTACATGGTTGCCCTGAAATTTCAGCTCTAGATGGGCTCAAAAAAATTACAATTTTATAGTTTATCAAAATTTTTGTCATTTAGGTGTGAGTGTACTCATTCAACTTTCCACATCCTAAGCAGAAGTGGGATGACGCAGAGCCTATATTTTAAGCGCTACATCCTACTGCTTCCCAGGACAGCTATTACTATCACCTTCCTTCTTCAGAGATTTTTAGGTGAGAAGTTCAGAGAGAAAATATGAATTTCCATAGTCAAATACCAAGTAAATGGCAAAGACAGAATTTGAACCCAAGTCTACCTGGCTCCTAAGCCTTTTAAAATAAGTGGTAATGCTTCCTATATATTTGCATTACCTACAAATGCAAATTTTATTTTTCGGCAGAAAATCATGCCTGGTAATCTTGGGAGTAGACAAGGTTACAGGCCTGATTGCACTTGTAATTGTGTGCTATTAGTGGAAATACCAGTATGGCCTGCAAAGTCCCTGTAGCATCACCCTTGGATTGAAATTGCTACTTTGGATACTGGTAGATACACTAGTAACTGAGAACTATTAGTGCTGTCATTATTGCTGCCTGGAACATCCCAGGAGGATGGCACTTATCAGTAGTTGTTATAGCCAGAGCCTTCTCTGACGGAATGTGTTTGGTAAGTAAAGTTCTATTCAATCACTGATGATTCTACGTGCACATATGTGCCTGGAAAATGTCACCGAAGGCAAAACACTAGTGCATGCTAAGAGTGGGCATATTTAACGAATTGAGGAGGGAAACCTTGGTAAAAAGCAACAAAAACCTGGAAGCACCTTCGCCTCATTTCTGCCATAAAGTTATCTCTACCGTAGGACAATTATCAGGATAAGATGGAAGAATCACCCTGTCTGCCTGTACAAAAATGGCCTTAATCTTTCAGGAAACGTATTCAGCACTTACCATGTGGCACAGCACTCTTCTGCGTACTGGAAACAATTACACTACAGAAATGACTATCAAATAATTTCGTACTTAAAAGGAAACACAGTTCTCCAAGGCCCCCTGAATTTCACCTAAACATTTCGAGTTCTTTAAAGCTGCCATCATACCCAGTCCGCAGAAGTGGTACCGCCCCTCTAAGTCTCTGGCACGACCTTGTGCCTTTGTTCTCAATCTAGCTGAGCCAGGCTGGCATTTTGAAAAGCCATATTTATTCAGAATTAAGGGAGGACTTGCAGGAAGTACAGCAGAATACGTTAGAAAGCTAAAGCTTGCCAAGTTTCCATTCCAGATATTGTCACATACCTAAGGACAGCAACAGTGTCCCAGGCCTTTGACTGTTGCTTCCTACTCTCTCACCTCTCTGCCATCTTACTCATCCTCCTCCCACCAGCAAGTGTCAGTCAGATGCTCACATGATCATTCCC